GTTGCTCGAATTCACTCCCGAAAGTTCTTCTCCGTATGGAAAACCGGCGCAACGATTCTGGAAGGCACCTGCCGGTCGGTCCGGTCTGACAGAATAATTCATGGAAACAGAGGCTCGACAATTAGGTAATAAATAGTCGAAACACCCAGCCAGCCACCCCCTACGTCTATCCCTCCCCCCTTCGTGTTTCGCTACGTCGTGCTCGTTGAAATCGACAGGGGAGTGAATTAATAAAACGACCCCCGGCCGTGTGAGTGTACGCGTGTGTGTGCGCGTGCACGCCCATGCGTGTGCACTACCGGCGACCCGCCGCACAGATGTGACCCTCCGTTAGAAGGGGTATTTCTTTTATTTTATTGCCCGAGCTTAATGGAATAGTTTGCATGCCGGGAACAATCAACGCGCCGGAATATTACATTTCTCGTTCGACCGGGGACCACCGGTGAAAGGAGAAAGGCGCCCGTGAATTGTCTATGATTCTTCAGACCTCGGAGATAATGAAATCATTCCGTCTCGTACGTTTCCAAATAGAGGTCAATCGAAGTGCCCGAGTCGTATCACTGATACCCGCACATACACATGCTAATGAAAGTGTATGCACAATTTAAAAGAAATCCGTCGATAAGTGGAATATTAAACACGATGCGGAGAGACAAACGAAAGTAACTCGATCAACGGCGAATAACGCGTTTGTGCCCATCGAGAATATAATGTAGTGTCGCTACAACGCGCGACGACAGTTTTTTCTCCCTTTTTCGCCTGTAACTCAAGTCCGTGCCCTTAGTAGAAGGGACACAATACACGGGGTGGAAAAACGGTCCCGTCACTCTACCAGCACCGCGTGAGATCGCAGATTCGAGAATCCCGACCATTAATAATCGTCTCTCTCTCTCTCTCTCTCTCGTCGACGCCCCGCGTTCCTCCGATGACACGCGTAAATCTGTCGCTAAACGACTTCTTTAACCGCTTTGACCGCCGCATTGATTTCCGCCAATCGTACGGTAGCTCGACGAACGATTGAATTAGCAGGGTTAGTTCGTCGCGACCATGAAAATGCACGAATGAAGATTCCGACACGAGTGTTAAAAAAAAGAACGCCATCGGATTTAATCAGCCCTCCCCCCCCCCCTCAAAGCATTATTAAAACAAACGTTTTATTAATACATAATCATGTTTGCTAGGTTTGTTTACTCGATTTCAAATTTGTTTTAATTAAAGGAATTTCATTGAATTCAAAGAAATCTTTTTCTCTGTGTAGATTAATAAAATTTGAAACACTTTGACAACACTTGTTAACTACTCTTTTTTGAGCTTTTAATATTGCAGATTAAATTTTATCGCTATCTTGAATTGACGCTAAAACGGAAATTTAAGACATCATCAGAATGAAGGTAGGAGTAAATTATATTATTAGAATTGAAATTGAACTGTGACTTTGCTATCTTAGCTCCTACTGTGTTGTAGGATTAAAAGTTTAATCAAACACAGGGCTAAAATTTCGACCCGGGTCGGCTTGCGGAATCTGCGAAAAGAAATTTTTTACCACCGCTACGCAGCCCTTCGGCTGGAAAGGCGCCTCTCCCGAGATTCTTATTAGAACGATACGTTGATTCGAGGCTGAGAATTCCCGACCCGGGCGCGCGCACGGCAAACCTAGGGCCCGCATGTAAAAGTGCGAGCGCGCGCGGCAAATCGTAGAGACGCCGCATTGAGCGGAGGCGGTCGTCCGTGAAACGCATTTAGCTTGTTGGTACACAGAACGCGACGGGACACGCGAGCCCTGTTCTCTTCGCATTGTGCGAGTGAGTGAGTGCGTGCGAACGCACCCACGTGCAAGTGCGCGTCAGCGAGAATCCGCTCGTCATTTTTGGGTACTGCTTTTCATCTTTTTTTTTTCAATTCGCTCGAGAGATCAGTCACGACGGTAGATTGATCATTTGTATCGTAACGAATCAAGTGTAAAGAGAGGAGACGCTCCAATACTTTCCATCTTTTTCCACGCGAGATATAAATGTACCTTTTTTCTCCGATTTGGATGCAAGAGGGACTATTCGCATAATCTGCCGTTGTATCATTAGAGGATTACGAATCCTCGATCGTGTCCTCCACGTGGAGGTTGTCATCCCGTGACCTCTCCCTCCTCTCTCTCTCTCTCTCTCTCTGCCTGTCCGCCGGCAAAGAGATCGGATTCCACTCCAACTCCCCTATGAGCTCTTCTCGAAGGCGATCCTCCGGAATACGACAATGAAACCGATTCGTGAGTGGAGAGAAAACAGAGTCGAGCAGATGCGGGCTTCCATCCTCGACTTGTTCTGTCAAAACATGGACGACGATTTGTTGGTAGTATACATGGAGAAACGGAGAGGAGAGCAGACGCGTTTCTCTTCGCATTTAGAATTGTAATTTATCGTCCCTCTCTCGCTTTAAGTAAGTATTACAAGGAGCTCAACGACATTTGCTACTTTTCGTCCACTTCTACTGTGCCTTGCGAAATAACGAGATACGAAATTAATTATTTTCGTTTTGCAAGATATTTAGTCGCGACGTCCACAGTTAAATTTCATTTAGGTTCGCAGCACTGAATATTCGAGTGGATTGCGTCATTGTTGTTTCGACTTCTTAACTTTTCATTTTGAAGGGAGTTTCGCACGAAAAGTCTTTTTAATCGACTCATTCCTATGTATCGACATTTTTTTTTAAGGACACATAAAGCATGTATACGCAATGCGTCTCTCCGAATTATCTGTAATAATCCATCAAATTTCCGTGTATTCGGTAATATTCAATTATTACGGCCTGCTGAACGGGCCGATCAACACTGTCGTAATTTATCGTCGGAAGCGTGACTTTGTGCCCTCTATTATGCAAAATCACAACAACGGCGTCTCTCGTCGTCCACTCGAGAGAATCACCTCCTCTCTCCTCTCTCTCTCTCTCTCTCTCTCGTCCGGCCCCAAAAAGATCCTGGAGGGCGAGAGAGTCATCAATTACAATTGGAAATAAATCGAAGGCAGATGCAGCGATCGCCCGCGGGGCTCGTCGCGGCGGGTGACCGATTTCTCACCCCTCGCAACCCCCCGCGGACAATGCGCTGTTTTCTCTAAATACAAAACGGTACACGAGCTCGGTGAATTTCCGCATTCGTTGTCGTTTCATCACGTCTTCGTCGAGAAAGGCGGCACGAGTAATTTCGAATGACTTTAAAAATACCTTTTTATATTGCTTCTCATTATCTCGAATATTACGTCTATTTAGAATCTCTCTCTCTCTCTCTCTCTCTCCCCCTCCCTTTCTCTTCCCTCTTTTTACACTAACGACTTAATAAGAAGGCGATCGAATTATCGGCCAAGCCTTATCGTTTTTTTATCGTATCGTTTGACAAGTTTGCTTCCTGCCTCATTTTGACAATAGAGAATAATCAGTCACTCGTGTTAGTAAACCGTAACGAGGTACGATAGCTTCTTTATCTGCGGACCGCAGGAAGCCGGTAGTGGGCCCAGCGATAACAATTCTTTGCAAAGCCCGGCGAGACGTGAGAACACCGTTCACGTCGGTGCTTAACTCGTTAAGCATACTTTGCCGCGGATATATCGATCCGTCCAATAACAATACTTGACGATCAAAAATTCGTCTCGCTCCTCACGGTTCTATATTTATAATTACGATATAATGCCGAGAATATAATTAATAGCCGGAATTGATTCGACGTAATAAATCTTATTATTAAATTCTGTCGATCGAGTTGTCCGAAGATACCGTCTTCTCCCATGTCGAATAATTACCGAAGGTTGCAGCGCAGGGTGACTTGATACTTACGACTCATCGAACCGAATCGCCCAGGGCCACCCTTTGGATTCACGTATGGCTTCTCGTAAGAATTCCCTCGCGCCGAATGCACGTCATTATGTTACATCGCGTCGAGTATCGCGCAACTGCACGAACCAGTCATTTCTTTTTGTGAAAAGCAACTTGAAACAAAATTTTTCAATTGAATGGAACATTTTAACAAGCAGATGAGATACGACGTGTTGTGTAATTTTCTTAATTAATTCGTTTCTACATATCAGGATATTTTTTTTATAGAATGTTTAAGACCCGCCGATATATAAGATGCGGATCAATCGAACAATTTATTCTTTTTTATTTAATCAAGGAAACTTTATTTATTTTCGGTATGCTAGATGCGGTCGCGATTTTAATTAGCGAATTTTTAGCATTGCAAAAGATATCTGTCATCGAAACGTTTCATTCCTCTCGAACGAATCCTGGCGTAAAGCATATCGCTTGAGACAATAAAGCCGATGCGATAGGGAGATCGTTGCAGTGCACGATCCGATTTGACGAGATCAGGATAATGCCTCTGGATTGCTGTGCGCTCCGATGCCCGACGGGGTTCTTCCTGAAAAGACGATGGAAGGGCTCATCACCCTCCTATCCCGTCGCTGCGCAAATACACGCAGGATCAAGACGCATTAACGGCGACGGTAATGACGATTGTGTTGCGATTCAATCGTCATGAGCGTCAAATCGTGTCTAGCGTTTTAAGTTACGTTTAAATATAAAATAAAAAATCAATTATATAGAGAGTATAAATGTATGAAAAATGAATTGTATAACAATCAACAGGGAGCCATCGAAACCTGGTGAAAGATATACGCGTCTCGAGTTCGATTTATTTACCGTATCTTTGCTAATTCGATCGTCAACTAAGTTTTTACGCAATTAACGGAAATCAGGCCGGCGATCAACAAATCGTTAAACGAATAGCAGGTTTCAAAGTCAATTTTCTGATAATTATATCGCGCGTCAAACCTGAGGATCACCCACATATCAATTCGAAGACTGGATCTCTCGGAGTGGCGTCATTATATTTCTATATCTATATTATTTATATTTATTACGTTTTCGTCTATCTATTTCATATATTTATTTATATTTTATTTTCCATTTTATTTCGGTGCGAACGAAGAGAAGAGGATAGAACGAACGAAGCGGAGGAAGAATCCGAACGCAAATGTCGATCTTTAATTTATAAACTCTTTACAAATATGTACAATGTAACAAAAAGATTTTGCGACGACGTTCACATGCTCAACTGAAAGGTAAAACATAAAGGTAAACGCATACGCAACGATCCACACTGACTCATACTCATTTAGCGCTGAACGCGGAGGAATCGTCGTGATTCATGCATTTCGTCAATGACGAGCCGCCGCGCCGTGACGTAATCATCGTCATCACGGCCGTTTTTTCTTCTGTCGATTGGACGTAGCGATACATTCGCGAAGAGATATTTTCACGAGAGCGAAAGGCAACGCGTAGATTATACTCGTCTCTCTCTCTCTCTCTCTCTCTCTATATTCACAAACAGGCAAGTCGGCGAAATCATCAGTCGTACCATTTGCTTCGTTATTTTTCTCGATATTCGGATCAGACGTCACTTCGACGTTCGCTTGATGAGAATCTCTCGTGGATATTGAGATTAACGAGAAACCGACAAATTGAAATTGAAATCCGGTGTGTATCTGTACCCGTAAATCTGAAAACAAACCAAACGATATGAACGTGACACGTAAAAGCAATTCAATTAAGATTGGGTTTGATTAATTCGACTCGACTTTCTTTTTTTTTTTCGACTGATTTTTCTCGCGTAGCATTCTCATTCAAGTCACACCGGAGACGAGTGGTCGTGTTGGTGCGATCGTTCGCGCGATTTTTCATCGGCATGTCACCTGTCGCGTTATCAAGACACGTTCTCGTCGAGCGGACTCGTCATCGCATCTTATATAATATATATATATATATATATATATATATATATATATATATATANTACAAGATCTGCTCAGTGGCATTTCCGTCTCGATAAACACGCGGGATTATCGGACGGAAATCCCGCCACATGAGTCATCTCTGAATGCATATACATATATATATATATATATATATATATCTATATTGAAAAATATGCTCGAGTAAGCATCTTCCTCATACTAGTCAGCATATTCCAGAAGGATTTATTCCCATAAATACAATACAATACAATCATCGGGGGTGGTGGTCGGGCGGCGGCGGCTTGCACGGGCCTCAGTAGGCCCGCAGTCGTACCTCCATCTCGGCGTCCTGACGGTGCGGCAGGTGGGACTCGATGGCGGCGGCGGTGGCACCGGTGGCGACTGCGCCGCTCACGTGCCGGCTGTGATGGCCGTGGTGATGGTGGTGGCCGTGGTGATCGTGGTAATGGTTGAGATGCGGTGGCTGCGCGGCACCGCTCCGGTAGGCCCGCTGCTTCTCCTCGAAGTCGCGCAGCCGTTGATTATACCGTTCGAGCTGTTCGCGTAGCAGCGCGTCCTCCTCGGCCGCGCGTTCCTCATCGTATTCCAGACAGCCGACCCCGTCCAATCGTTCCAGGTCGATCCACCCACGCCACCTCACACATACACCGTTCATGATCAGGTGCGAGCGTAGATGCACCTGAAACACACCGCGTCGCCAGATAACGCGATTATCTATGCATGCATTAAAGAAACATTGGGAGTAACAAACCGAGTCTCAGGATCACGTGAATTTTGTCGCACAAACTGCTGATCGAGTGGAATAAGAATCGAATCGCATCCAACGAGAGAGAGAAAGAGAGAGAGAGAGAGAGAGAGACCACGAGAAAAAAGTAGAAGAATCCATCTCCAAACCGTTCAAAATTTAATGAAAAAAAGTGAAAATTTTCCCCCCAAAATTTGTATGAGATCGACAATTCTCATGTGGAAATTTGAATCGCAAAATTTAGTCAACGATACCAGAGTTGAAATTTCGACGCTACTTTAACACTCTTAAGAATAGTTTGGGTCCACGTATAAATGACCTGTTAGTAAAACTTACTCTGACGATGCTACACTTGTCAACTTTTCGTCTTTTGTTAACTCTGTTGAACTTGTTGAACTTTGAATTCTACAGATTTAATATTTAATATTAATGCTACCTTGAAGCTAGAAATGTTCTTGATATGTTTCGATTATTAAATTCACATATAATTTTATGCGCATTATTATAAATACATTATCAAATTATATTCATTATAATCATATTTTTACGCTAAAAATAGCGAAGACAGAAATTCAAAAACATCATCATGGTCCAAATAAAAGTAAATTATATTATTAAAATTGCACATTTACACATTTTTTGCCATCTTAACTCCTACTGTGTCGTAGAATTAAAGGTTTAACATAAAGGATCAAAATTTCAACTCGGATATTCTTGAAATTTCTTGAAGCGAATCTCATTTTCCCAAGAGCTCGTCGCTCGTGATCGACCGTTCGCGGTTTGGACGTCTCAATCTTTCTTTTTCCGAAATTTGCCGGCCCCGTCGTGAATCGTAGGAAGGACTCCATTATGAGCCACGAGCCGCAAGTTTCAATCACGTCCTGTTCGTTCTCTCTCGGTCAACACACTCCTTATTTCCGCGCGGAGCGATTACGCAGATTGGAAGGTACCGGGAGAGAGAGCCTTCGCGGTCCACCTCGAGGGGGGGGNTGAAATTGAGAGGTGAGGCCGCGCTCTCGCAGCCCTCGTAAGAAATCAATTACGAGCGAAAGTAACTCTCGTCGATAGTTGGCTCCATCCTCAAGCCGTAAAAGCCGCTGGCGTATAGTATGCTATTATCTCTCGGTTCGTTATAATCTTTATATAACAGGGAGATCCGGAAATATTTCGAAAAAATGCGTCGAGATATACTTTAATTAAGTTAAACGCGTCGTAACTCCTGACAAAATTGAAGAGGATCAGCCGTGAGACGTAAAAAGAAATAAGATGCATTATTTTATATTAATATATATTATATGATNGCGGCTCGTTGACCCGAAGGCGAAATCGACGTTACGTCTCGTTACATTCTTTCACGTTGTGGCAGCTTACAGCTGCGCCGTCGACAATGCACCGCGGGGCGCATTTTTATGCAGTAATAATCGAGCCGCGGGGTGCGACGATGAGTAACGAGGTCTTAAACGTTTCGATAATCGAATCGACCTCGAAGGGCTCGATCGTCGTTCCCGAACTACTATCCGAAATACGTGTCCTGCCTCTTTCATCGTATCATTGAAATATGTCACTTTTTTTATATTTCGATGAAACGTCAAGTGAGAATAATTATTAAGCAAACGGATAAATTCCCATGTTCGGGATGAAACGCGCTCAATCACCGCAAACATGACGTGACAAAAAACGTTTCCTCCGAGGATAAGGCGGAAAGTTTTACTCTCTCGTGCAATCTTATACATATTAATGCGTCTCCAGGTAAAACGGAACGCACGGAATCATCGCGCGCTGAATCTTACGCGAGCTGCATATTAACTCGAGTCTGAGCGAGCGCGAGCGAGTGATAACGTCGGGAAATACGTCAACGATATTCACGTGCATGCACACGCTTTATGGTATTTCCTCATAAGAGCAATAATAATATTCGCAGACCTGACTATTTTTATCTATCCCGGTAAACGTTTCAATTCGTACAATTAATGTGATATCTTGCGATGTGAAGAATTATTAACTTATCCCGTCAGTAAGCATCACATCGTGGTTTCGTTTCCAACATTTCGTTAAGCTCATTTCGCTTCTTCAGAGTGCACGGAGGAAAATAATTCACTGGCACTAGCAAATTTTTGTGCTATCGCAGCAAAATCCGTCAGTTATTATGTGAACAGCGGAACGATTTATTAAGACTAACTGTCATTTACCGAATTATTTTGTTGTAAAAACAACTCAGTAAATATAGAGAAACACTATTTTGTTCTAACAGGAAAATTAATATATTCCAAAGACAAGTTTACTATCGCGACAAATATCCAATAACGACGATGTTTCGCTAGCAGCAACAAAATTATTTTTTTCCGTGTGAGGGACGACCCGAAACTTATTGTACTTATTACTTATTGTACAGTTGCTTCCCTTTTGATATCCGGATATCAACGAGTCGCTCTAATGACGTCGCGAGACGAATCATCGAGACATGTATATTCCGAGAGCGAGAACTCACGAGGCTCGTAAAAAGGTCGACACGAAAGAGAGAAAGAAAGAAACGGACGGACTACATCCGACTTCGTCATTAGTCATCGTCTCCCTCCTCGTTCTCACGACGAAGCAAGAACAGTAGGACACATTTGTTTTTCTCCTTCTTCCGCGCACGGGCGTGACCGACCATTATTATTATTACCGTCGCACAATATCGCCGGGCGATATTTAAGGTGTGTAACCCTTTCTGATTTGCATTAGCGGCGAGCGCCGGCGGGGGTAAAAAAAAACGCGAAGAGGAAAAAAGGAAAGCGAAACGAGCAACGAAGAGCCGCGACGACGAGAAGTGAAGGGGTTGCAGCAGCAACCGGGGCGAGCGGCCGGCTATTTTCACGGGTCCTTTTGTTTTTCGGTAGGCGTCGCCGCGGCGCCTTTTTGCGCTCCGGCCGGGTCCGTCCACTGCAGAAGAGCGCCCCGGCACATTCGTCAACGATATCCCGACAGAAAGGACGACGCGAGCGATGAGGGGCATACGGTCAGCATGGCGCGTCTTTTGTTCCCCCCCTCCTCCCCCTCCCCCCTCTCGTGGGGTCCAGTTTTGCGCGTTCATTTTTTACGATGCGAAGCGCGCGCATCGTCGTTGACAATCCACTTCCCGTACTATAAATTTTGACCTTCTTTTTCCTCTTCTCTCTCTCTCTCTCTCTCTCTCTCTAAGGATTATCGAAAATGGCCGTTGTAAATGTTTTTCTTTTCTTTCTCTAAATTCTTGCAGTGAAATCTTATTCAAAACGAGAGAGAAAAGTAAGGATAATTTCATTCGAAGCATAGTGAAAATACTTGCCGCTCGAAATCGCAAAATTCAAGCTTAGAAGTTAGTGGATTTTGATTTTATACCAACGAATGTTTCAACCAATTAGAGTGAACACATTTCCGACGGTAATTTCGCTCCTCAGTTTCGAATGAAATGATTCATCTGCTTTCCGAGTGAAATTTCGCTCTAAAGAAGTTTAGGGAGTACGAAAGATGGCAGATAATTGGAATGATCGGCGCTTAGAATATTCACACGGCTCCGGGGATTCGGATTTCGAAATCTCGCTCGTCGAATTGGAAGGTAAAAGATTTCCTCGGATAATGCCCCCGAGTCTTCCGTGCGACGAGGGGTTAAATATCTCGACTGTTATCGCCGCACGCGCGCTCCTCTTTATCGCGCGAATCTCTCCCTTAATTATTGCGTCGCGACGGGACACATCAGCGGCACAATGCGCGCACGTGTGGCCGCGCGCCCGCTCTTTCATTCCCTCTCGCTCATTGTCCATTAAAACAAAAAAACAGAGGCCGCGGGTCGTCCTGCGAAAACAACGCGTGCTCGTACGCGGAATCCTAATGAATCGCTTCCGTTTCGTGCCTCTAACGAGGAGACACTCGACGAGAGAAAGAGACTCTGCGAGTACTCCAAACAAACAAAATAACAAAATAGAATATTTGTCCAGAGTAGACGGAAAAATTCAGTTCGGCTGAATTTATCCAGTGAACGAATCAAACGCGTTTCAGTTGAGGAAAATAGAATTTCCGGTTGTGAGAATCGACTCATAAGAGTCCGTTTCCAAGCCATTGTTAAATTTATTTAACAGAAAATGGAACTCTTCTACAAATTTGTCTCAAATTATCTGAAACCCGTACTTTTGGGATTACTTTTGGGATTTCAAATTCAATATTGCAGGTAACGTCGATCAAATCGCGTGTAAATCACCGGCGAGGTAGAGACGCAGGTCACTGAGAATCTTCTGAGAAAAAAAGAAGGTAAATGCGGCGGGGGCTGCAGAGAAGATTTCGGGGCTTTTCGTTCGCCCTTTGCAAGACTGCGGAGATTTACGAGCCATTATGTACCAAATGACTGCACGAGGCATCGAAGCATCTGGTCTCAGCGGCGTTCGATGGATTTTGAGAGCGCTAATTGGTACGGCGCATTACTAACTAACGGGCGCAGCTTTTGCTCTATTCGACAGTAATAGAAAATTTATCCCGTTTCTCCGATACTTCGGCAATATTTCTAAAGGTATACAGAATATTCTACATTTATTATTCGGTCTTAAATTACACGAGATAAAACAAAAGTGGACTTTTTGCACGTATTAAACTCGAGGAAGTGAAATATAGGTGTTAAAATTACACCGTGAGAAAATTATTTCGTATTTTCGTGACTATAATTGCGTAGTAAGATAATTATAGTCGGGAAAATAATTTTTACAGTAAAAAGTGCTATTGTAAAGTTGACGACCGCAATCTTTATACTCATATTGCAACTGCTACTTTTGAAATAAATATAGTTGACGTCGAAAATTACTATAAAAATTTAATTTTTTCAGTGTACGTTTACCAAGAGGGCAATTACCTGGGAAAAGTTACGGTCGAGAACGCTGCTGCATCGAGCAATCTTCGCACTTTTTTTTACCGTGCGAAATAACGTGCGATACGAAGCGGCATTCCCGTAAAGATGAGCGCGCGCATTTTGCAAAATGGCGTCGCGACGCTATCGATCGCGATGGCGAGGCGTCGGCCGTGACGCCCGCGTATCAGATTGCGGTACTTCGCCCTTAAAAACTTAACCTCGATTGCAATTGTATTTTTTCGCGAAAAATTCCGAGGATAATTTTCGCCCAAAATCTGATCGCCAATTGATCGCAAAGACAATCGTCAATTAATAAAAAAGACTGTTGTTCTAAAACGACTAAAAATATTCTCTCGTTCTCTTTTTACAATCTATATTTAAAATTTCAACCAGTCAAGTGTTACCTGCTCCATTTGATTAAAATGCACAGAATTACTGAAAATTGCTTTTACTAGGAATTATTAATAGAAATTAATTAATTTCTGCTGGCAGTCTTACCATCGATTAGATCGTCGATGTTGTTGATCGATCCATCCCCACATTCGAATCCTCAAGATCGACGGTACATACAACAAAATCTCGGTTCCCATTTCTAAAATTGGACGCGCCTCAATAGCAAAATAGGTAAAGTCGCTCGATGAGCGTAGAACACGCAGATAAATCACGTCGTTACGACGAAAACGGGACTCCCGCGTAGAGGTCCCGGCGACCGGATGTCGGTGTCATTTTGGCGCCATTGTCCGACAAGGGTCGGCCAGTGGATACTAAATTGTAGACGCGCGCGTGGAAGGTAAACGTTGTTAAGGGTCTGGCCCGTGAACGGCCTCTAATTTGCCGGTTCGAGACGACCTAATTGCGATCGCGCGTCCAAGTGGCGTTCCGAGAGATTCAAGAGTTGCCGCGAGTCGATGAGTTTAACGAAACTTCGCGCGTAAATCTTACGGCATCGACGATTTTCCGATTATGATGTGTTCGCAAGGATTATAATCGTTTGAAAAGAAGGGGGAGAAACTCACCTTGCCATGCTCTTTGTCGAAGTCGCAGTCGCAAGGATCAACGGGGTAATTTCCGGATGCTCCGCCGAAGACAAGCTGAAGATTGGTGCCCGTCGCGGCAAACGCAATCTCCGTGTGGCCTTCCCGACAGCCATTTTGAAATCGTACTTGTCGCTCTTCCATCGGCCGATCTCTGTAGCCCGTGTATCTCACCTTCAACAAAGAAGATAAAAGGAAGCGGTAATATTTTGATGGAAGATACACAACCGCCGGATCGGTCACATAGGTCGACCGTTGTGCTCGCTATTTACATATCGACTTGAGGCAAGTTTCATTTAACGTGATCGTGAGCATATTTCGTTCTATATTTGTTTCTCCCGCATGTTAAACGATGTTTGCGATCCTCGCGAGCGTTAAGCGAAGCCTCTGTCCTTGCTTGAACTTGCTCGAAGATTCCTTGCTTCGGAGAAAATGAATCCTTCGGATTTTCCGTTGTTCCAGATCGCCGAGTTTCCACGCAATTAAAATAATTATGAAACGAAGCGAAGTGCCAGTCGGTCGAGCGACGCTCGTCCGAAGGCTAGACATTCAATTCGTGGAAAAGACGACATTCCTGCGGCATGATGATTTCGCGTGTTCCAGGTGATTCCAGGCGCAACGATTCTCTCCGAAATCGCCGGATCTCGCCGCGCTGTATCACGAAAGAGACGTTCAACTCGCGACGAGATATGGGCCGAAAAGTCATCAGAGAAGGAGAGAGCGAGCGAATTCCGGGGAGGAAATTTCGTAAGAATTGATTCTCGGAATTAACGTCACGCGAAGTCAAGTGCGGACTTTACGGCCGAACTACGAATGATGATCACAAATTGATCTGTATTATATAATAGTCATTAAGATCACACGGTGATGTAACAGAATGATAGCTGAGTCATTAATTAAAGTTTGGTCACACGATATTCATTGTAATCGACCGGAAAGCTCTCATCTCCTCCGACAGCACTTTATCCGACGGGACGTCCTTAGGACGTAGAAACATCTTTAGGGCATCCCTCAAATCGGAACATCTCGCGTGAGAAAAGTTTCAAATAACGACCGACCGGATCTTCAACTTTCGCGTGAGCAAAGAACCGCCGAAATATTCATCCAATGCGTTCCTCTCCCCGTTTTCCCTTTTTTTCACCTTTCAAGAAATTCTACTATTTCGGACGGACTCACCTCGCTCTCGCGGCTCAGCCTCCTGAAGAGCTCGTCGCTCTCGAACTTTGCTTTCTGGTCCGGCACAACGCGAGGCATCTTGAAGACTAACCGCGGGGGCCGAGGTTGCTCGTACAAACCCATGCCGTCGAACGGCAGGACGCCGACTCCGGCGTGCTCGCTCATCGCGTGCATCATCTTGACTGCCGAGAACGGAACAAAGAGGGGCAATAACTACGACGCCACCTCCTCGTAGACGTCACCAGGTCTTTTGCGCGCACTCGGATTGCGCTTCTCACGGAACAATTCGAAGGCACACTTCGTGGACACGAGAGGGGTCAAGATCTCCCTTGAGAAGAGAACACTCGCCTGGTCCCCGGATCTGCACGGTCCGACACCACGGTGGAAACTGGAGGAGAGTTCGGACGTCGGAAATGTGCGCGCGGAATCCCCGCGCGGACTCTCGCGTGCCCGAGAACCCGACACGCCCCGGACCGCCCCGTAATCCCCACCCTTCGTCGTGGCTGAATCACGGGCTTTTCCATCGTCCATCCAGCTACCCGGGCTGCGGAGGTAGTTAACGACAGTGAAAGCTGTTTCGCGATATTTGAGTCGATTTGCAGAAAGTAACGCTCGTCACGAGCCGTGAATAATGTAACCGTCAGTCTTGTCCTTTTGATCGCCAACGTGAGACCGAAACGTCTTTGTACTGTCAAGGCTGTCAAATTGCCATAGACGTAAATTTAAGCTTAAGAAGGACCGACGAGGATATTTGCCGATTGATTTTCCAGCTTAAGTTCACGTTCTAATTTATGTTACGATGAAAATTTTTTATTTTGCTAAGTTCCTGTACATATAATTCGCACTCTCTTTTTCATTCAGATTCTCATTGGCCCGTTTTGATCCGACCGATCGACCCATTTTTTTTAGATTACTGCATTCTGCGGCACGTCACACACAGTAGAAATTTTGTGTTAAAAACGATCCACTGAAACTTTGCGTTACTCTGACAAGGTGAATATGTCAAAAAGTAATATATATATTAACAAGATATGTTAACATTATATCTGTGTATTTTTTAACATAAAATTAAGATAACACTTCAGTCGGTCGTTTTTAACACGAAACTTTTTATCGTGCATAACGACTCGTACGAGTTCGCATTCTGTATGACAATACGAGGGATGCACCGTCGATGTAATATAATATAGCAAGACTGGCGATGACCCCTTACGGATATAGCAAGTACGTGTCGCAAACAGAGAGAAGGAAAGAAGGGAATGCCCATTTTGAGGTGCTGCCGGATACTGCCTCCGCTTAGGCTTAGGTATAACACTCCCTCGGTTGTGTACCCTTGAAAGAAGAGGTCTTTATCGTCTCTCTCGAGTGGCTCGCGGGGCTCGTTCATTCGGGCGCATTATTGTCCAAGATTCATGCGATTACGATCGACAACCTTCCGTAAGCGCGATTGCCACTACTAGTGCAAAGATATTTATCCTTCTTCCTCTCGTGCAGCTTTCGGAGAGAGAGAGAGAAAGAGAGAGACACACTAACGTTTTTCGGTTTTGTCGTTAATCCCGTTGTCCCGTCGTACATTTTCCACGCTTGCTATAACATTGTGACAAGAAACTGAAGAAAATAGATGTTTCGCGGTTTCCTCGCTGCCTGTTAGGCTCAGAAATTATTTGTTATCGTTTAATTGTTTACTATTATTTATATAAAACAAAATACCATTAAATTTCTCGTTCGACATTTCTTCAACGTATCTTTTCAGGTACATCGATAAAAACATGAAAAATCGTATTTTCCTCCGAGGGAATGTTATATAGGCTCTGACAGCCGTTTTTCAAGAGCGAAATAGAAACTAGGTATGTCATTAGTTTTGCTTGAATGAATAGCAAGCGTGGCAAACGGGATTTCACGCTCGCGCCTCGTCGAGAGAGACAAATCTCCGCCTCTTGCCGTGCGTCATTGGTCCAGCAACTTCGCCAATCGCGCCGTCGGGTCTCCGCGGACGAAGGGAGAAATGCACACGTGTTGCACGCACACGCTTGCACATTGTCGTGTGCGTGCGTGTGACACGCCGTTGACTTCGTATGCGCGTGAGTATGCCGTTTGTCATGCGAGAAAGGCGAAAAATATGGCACGAGGCAACGTGAATTCACTTCGCTATGCCGTCTGGCATGAAGAGATTTAGCTCTCCGTCCCTTTTCTCGGCCGGGTGTACGTAAATCGCGTCTTCCTCTTTCAACCTGCACGGAAATATTTTCTGACAGAAAATACTGTTAACTTTCTCTCTTTCTCTAAAGCAGCGACATGAGGATGAAGTATGTTCGCGAGGGCGACGACGATATCGATATCGCGACGCTCCTGTTGCCAGAGAAACTCGGCACTCGAGCTATACAGTGTAAATACTCGCGAAGGTCGAGCAGGTAGGATGTCGAGACGGGAAGGATTACGCGAGGACGAACCGTCCTGGCGTCGCAGAACGTACGAACGTCACCGTTCCAGAGTGAGTACTTGTAATTTCAATAATCATAGACTCGATATCCCAAATGTGGAATAATTCAGGTATACCCCGACATGCCCGGGTAAAAATAATAATAACTCCAGAACATCGGTCACATAACTTCTCCCTAAGACTGAAACGTGAAAAGCGAAAGTTCCAAATGTTTCTTTCAAATTTCCAAATTAGAAAACTTACTCTTTTCACGAGTTCGAAGAGAAAATTCATCACTTCCTGGAGAATGAATCTTCTCTTCGAACTCGTGAAAAGAGTAAATTTTCCAGGTTGAAAACATTTCGAATTTTCATTTTAAACGATAGTCTTGATTTCACCGTATTCCATCGTTTCTCCGTAATTTTCCAGGTAAAGACAGCCAAACCGACAGTGGACGTGAATCCACCGGAGGACAGACCTCATGTCTTCTTCAACGCGAAGAAATCGCAACTGGAGCGCGAACGACAGGCTCGAATCTTGCGGGACAATTTTATTTTGTTGAAGAAACTCCGCGAAATTATGCATCGAAAGCGACAAAACGTCGCGGAGGACATACATCGTGTCCAATGGCAGGAGTCCAGATGCGTGAGGACTCGTTGAAGAAGAAAAACATCGAGGAGGACGTGTCTCGATCGTAAATTATATATGTCCTCTATTTATATCTCTTTGTAACACCAAGGTGTTATAACTCACATACTTTATTCTCCCATATCCATTCAATTTCTGACTGTAACACCGTAAGCAACATGATTCTTTCATCCGGAAAGATTCGTGTGCACTCCTGTCGTGTCTATTTTTAATATGAATTTTTTACGTTAATATATGTGAAATTGCAGTTGAAAATCAGAAACTTGCCTTTCTTTCTTATTATTGCAAATATACGGAGGAATTTAGTTGTTCCCAAGAATTTTTCATACCGTTTCATCCGAAGTTTAGCGCTGGAATAGCAATAACATTGTAGATGTTTCTTTCTTTGATATTTTCTTAAATAACGAGCCGTTATGATGCAAAACCAGACGCTGTAAACGCGACACGTGTATTCAAAAATTCCAGATGGCTCTGCGTCCAATGAATGTCAAGGTTATTATGCAGGATCCACATTACATCCGATACCTATTAGTCCGATATCCAAAAGGAGCCTAAGGTTCCTAGCTAGTAACATTTTTACAATTTGTTATTTGTATCAACCAATCGTGATAAAAAATTTTTGCTCTTTTTGTCCTGATTGGTCAATTAAATGCTACTTTACCCTTCGAATAGGATTTTGGAACGCAGTCCTGAAAACTTTTAATGATCCCGCATCTAGTAAATGGTCGCGTTCAGCAGGACAATTTATTTCACAACTGTTGGAAGTTTTCTGAACTGAGATTAGATTATTCTTTTAGATATAAAAAGGAATAATCCACTATAAATTGTACGGCTCATTTCATTGGCTACGAAGCGTCTTTAGATAAACTTAAGGCTTAAGACTTTAAATATGAGATCCGCTTATGAATACTGGCCGAAGACTTTGGTATACAAAAAGCGGAAACATTTTGCACGCGACAATCAAATTGTTAGTTCTCATAAAAACTGGCTTTATTAACAAACAGTTTAACAGTGCAACTAAAAAGAACGGACCAACTGTCGGGTATCGAGCGAGCAATGTGAATTTCCCATAAGGTTTGTACGCGTGATTTCTCGGACCAATGAGCGATTGCCAGATACACGATTCCGTGACGCTCCAACGCGGGTACACGTAATGCGCGATGTTATTTGGACGATCGGTATCATATGACGTTTGGCGGTGGCGATAATACAGTGTTGGTGGTGCGCGATATCGCGGTGGAATATACGATTTCGTTCAACAGTGCTCTGCGGGTGTCTCGGTAAAGCTTTTTTCCGACGAATTCAAGCGGAGGTGAAGAAAGGAAGCCTCGACAACATCGCCTCATAAGCTCGAGGCGACGACATAGCGAGGACGGATATTGTTAATCTCTGTTGCGCATTTCGTCAACAGAACTGACTCCGTCGCGGGTTAACAAGGTTGACATCCTCCTCCTCCTATCACGAGGATGGCGGACGCCGCCGTTAATCTGATCATAAAGGCGCCGAATCAGCAGATCAAAGACCAAGTGGTGAAATGCGATCTCGGCTGGACGATCGGCCGCCTGAAGGAATACCTGTCCGAAGTTTATCCCAGCAAACCAGTAAGTCGCGTGAAAGTGCTCTCTCCCGTTTCGAGTGAAAGCGCGTTTCTCTTCTGCGAATATCTTCTTTTTATTTCCTCGTTTTACCCCCGCTTTGCCAAACGCGAAGGAAGATCCTCGGAGAGATTGTTTTGTGCTGGCGCGGTGTGACGAGCAGAGCGTTAAATCACTTCCGGATTAAATAACGTCGGGATAATGTAAAGAGCGCATGTATGATGATGTTATTATTGAGTTAAAAATAGTAAAGGCACTTAACGATGTTACTATGTCATCCTAAATTATCACATTGTATGATAAAAAAATCTCTTGAGGAGTGGAACTGTGTCGAAACAGAACATAATGTCATTCGTTTGTTTGCGTTTTTGGATCAGGAGATATGTGTTGACATTTTTATCAGATCTAATATGGTTTCTTTTTATTATACTTTATACATCAATATATTTGATGAGAAGCTTTTCATGAATTTGTTTCGAATAGAATCTCATTATCTATTGGAAATTTTCAAAATTTTATTCAAATTCTTTTCAAATTCTCGCTCAATTTTATCCATCTTTTTATCCATCAATTTCATTTTTTTACATTATTACTTTTGCTATTGTTATTATTTACTGCTGTGGGGCTGTATACTACCAAAAATATTCCAGAAATAACAATTAACATAAGTTCTTGCATTTATAGGAAAGTTCACACCAGAAATTAATATATTCCGGACAACTGCTGAACGATTCAGCACAGTTGAAAGATGTCCTGAGGCAGTGCAGCGATTCGGAAGATCAAGCATACACCGTTCATTTAGTCTGTACACCACAGAAAGCATGGACCGGCAAAGTCACGTCGGATCAAACCACCGAGAATACGGATGTGACAAGAAACATCCATATGAGAACTAACGTTCAGAATCCAAGTCACGAGAACGCTAATGCCACCGCGCAACCTCAACAGATGTACTCACCTCAGCAATACTTTGATCCACAAAATAGTCAACAGTTAGCCTGGATGCAGGCGTACACACATTATTTCACACAGTACATGCAACTGTGAGTGTTTTCTCTTTTTTTCTTCCTTCTTTAACAAGTGTGATCAGAATTTCTGTTATTCTTATTATATTTTCACAGCATGACTGCACAAGGCATACAGTTGCAAGCCAGTGTTCCGTATCTGCAACAGATGAACATTAACACGAACGATACGACTCAAAACACATACACAGCGAATAGTAATAACAACAATAACGTCGGCGACGAACAGGCCCAAGCGGCGGTGGCGCAAGACGCGGCGGACATCAACGCGGGGAATATGGGAGAAGATGCCGCGTTTAATCGCGACTGGTTGGACTTTTTCTACATGTTGTCCAGAATTGTTGTTCTGTTCGGCATAGTGTATTTCTACTCGTCCCCTCTCAGGTTTCTTATCGTCACATTTCTAGGATTTGTGATATACTTGTGAGTACACTCGCTTCTTGATCCTTGATTCTCTGAAACCTACATATCAGTACTTAGATCGCAAAATGTCTAATTTAAAGGCTCGATCCGATATTTTCCCCGTGAATTTTTTTCGCTTCTTTTTCAACAAAATATGACGCGCAATATCCGTTCCATAGGTATCAGGGCGGTTTCTTTAGGGAGCGGGCGATGTTACTGGCGGAGAACAACAATGGTGGTCGCGCGGACAACAACAATCAGGTGCTGCAAAATGAAGTGATGGGACCGCAGGCCGTGCCGCAGCAACAAAACGCTCAAGTGCCAACTGTGCAACCGGAACCACGGACGAACGCCAACGAGAACGAGGAGCAGCGACCAGGCGCTCTCGCCTTCACCTGGACCTTCTTCAGTTCGTTCTTCGCCTCTCTTATTCCGGACCAGCCAAATGTCATTTAATCCTGTCTGGGACCTCTTATCATAAAAGTCGTTAAGGCTTTCCTTTACTTCGCACTTTACGGAATACGTGATATACGAAATTCTAGAGATATTAGACGGTCTGTAGAGTCATAAGCGCTTAAACTCGTGACGAATTTCATACACACACTCCACGAAAGTCTGATCAGTTTTACGAAATACGATTTTTGTAATTAAATATAATATATATATATATGTGTACACACACACACACACACACACACACACACACACACACACACACNTATAAATGTTGATATATACGTGTGTTAGTGATCGGCGTAAAACGCTCAAGATGAGGGACTATTATTATTATGAAAGAAACATTTTCAATGAATACATGTACAGATCATATGCAGGATGTGTCATTATAATCATGAAATATTTTGCCGTTTTAGTATATTCGGAAGATTGATCAGAAAACTCAATACCTTACAATGACTATAAAAATTGAAGTTGACAATTGTGTGCATAAAACGCGTATACGAATCTCCTCGCTTCTGTTATTTTCATCGGTTTAACTCGTGTCTTCTTTCTTTCTTGTATAAGTCTGAACATTCAAATTGTGTGCAATACAGTAATTATTTGGATGTCACTGTGCAATAAGAATGATTGTTCGATTCGTGTCTTGGAAATTAATGTTATCACGACATTTCGGCAACAAAAATTTTCATTTTAATTAAACGCGTTTTATTCTGATTGATATAACTTCTAAAGAATGCCCTAATTAAAATATTTCATTGCAGTTCTGAGGCATTCTGTATATCTAACGTATATATGCGTCGCGTATATATGCAAAAAAAGAACAAACAGTTTAAAAAACAAAATGATGATCATCATATTATATTTGTAGTTATTGAAACTAACTTTTCTTCAAAAAGAGATAGTTAGAATCGTCATCCCAAAGCTGTTAGAATTTACTGTATAAAGAAAATTTTTTATGTTTTTGTAGTATAAATATACAACGAGATAATATATGGTGTATATACACACACACACACATACACACACACACATGCACACATAAATGTAAGAAGCGTATAATTCTCGTAGAGCTTGTATTATATTAAGCGACGATAATGATAAAATAGGCGCTTAAAAATTTTCTTCAAGAGGATTGCAATGGCAATACTGTTATTACACGAAGGTTATTTCTGTGATGTTTAATACGGTTGGATATATTCAGCGTGATAGCCTTGTAAAATATTATCGCGCTTCGTTCATATATATAACTATTATCGATAAAAATAATATATTCAAGGCGGAGGTATTAGTAGTGGAATTGTTAAATTATCGTAATTTTCCTAAATAGTCGCGACGGTCGTCGACGAAGATGAGGGTGTATGTAAAGCGAATAAAACGATTTTTGAAGTCTGTCGTTTAATTACGATACTTATTTAAATTAACACGTTGGATGCGGCTATATATAAAAATCCGTCCCCCGTGGCGTCATATTTCTTTTTTTTTCTTTAATCAACTGAAATATATTTAAAAATAACATGCCATAGAGAAAGAGAGAACGCCTAACTCGATCTAAAAGTCGAGCCCGTACTCAACGTGTTAAGTTAATCACTAATTTAATGCCTTTGCTGTAACGGCATGTCGATTAATATTGAAACAGATCAAAGTCGTCTGGGTGGAAGAATATATAAAATTTTCTTATTAATATGACCATCAACAGATACCATTCGTAAGAAAAGCACATGGAAAATCGATAAATTAATAATTACATGGTAAAACATTTTATGTTACAAACGGTTCACCCCAATTTGAACAAGATTGAAATGTTAAATATGTTAACAAAGTGAATGTGTTAATTTAACATGTTTATATACTTTTTAACATATTCATAGCCTTAGTAATATATCTTTTTCATAAATTGTAGTTAATTGCCATGTTGATGTACCATTATGTCTTTTTAAATCTATAAGCTAGTCGCCACCGACATAGTATTAGACGTAGTATTAGATTGTACAATAACCCGAATTTTTCGGCTAAATTTAAGATTTATCTTAAGAGGAAGTAAAACAAATTTTTCAATCCAAGTATTCGTCGTTGCTTCCTGTAACTTTAAGCTTTTCTTTGGGCAGCTTGTGAATTTTACCCTTGGAAAAATGCTGTATCTTTGGACACGATAAAGTCATCAAGCCAATTTTCGGATCTCATCCACTGATTGGAAATGCATATGTGGACTGGAACAAGTGGTGATCTGAAGGAACTATATCTATTATACACTGGGTGCTGCAAGATGTTTCATCCAAGATACATCACGATGTTTCTTGCCTTAGAAGCAGTGTGTTGTCAACTTCACAGGACATTTTCCTTTGCCAGGAATACGTACGGGCATTGTCGTACCAAGTCAGGCGCAAGTATTGTTTCACCCCGTTCCAACAACTCATAATCACACCATTAACATCCCATCGAAGCAGAGGGGAACCTTCTTTCCGAAACATTTGGGAGCTTTGCGACCGGTGTTGATGGATCGCCGGAAATTATCCATTTGACTTGACGCGGAAGCTATTTCCCTTCGTTTTGAGTCCTCCCCGTCTCGCACAGGCCTTCGGAAATGGTTTGCTGCGTTACCTCTTTCTGCATTGCCGCCGAATTCTCAGCGAGCAGTTGCTCCGAATCATTGTCGCACTTCCGAAGACCATCAGGACGTTTGTTGAACAGACTGAAGTCACCCCTTTTGAACCGTTTGAACCAAAATGCGCATACATCGTACGACACAACACCTTCACCGAGGGAAGAGCAAATCGACTCACACGCTTTGGCAACAGTTTTCCCTTGTTGAAACTCGTACAGAATACAGTGTCGGATATGCACTTTATCTGTTGTCATGTTCAGCGTTACTAAGCTAAGTAGTTTGTTTTTAAAGTTATTTAAAAACAAACAAATGTTTGGTAGGAAAATTTTATTTGTACCAGAGAAAAACCTGCGCCGGCCATGGCCCGGGATTTCAGGGGGGAGGGGTGTTTTCAATACGCCCTCTGAGAAAATGTGTCTGAACTACGCTGGGTTAGACAACTGGCGGCGATCAAATTTAAAATGTCCAATTAATCAAAATGAATTTTAATGAAATTTCGCAATTTTAGAAAGGTGAAAGAATTGCTGCGAAAGTGTTAATATTTCCAAGTTATTTCCAAAGTTAAAGTGACACAAAAATTTGAGTAGACCGTGCGTAACACTAAATTTTTTTACTATGTGGAATATTTTCAAATATGTTCAAATAATATCTGAATACACTGAGAGATATTATCTATAAATTATGGTTCATTTAATTATAATTATAATAAGTAGAGAGAAATGGAATAATTAGGCACAGAGAGGATTAAAAGGAATTCTTATAAATCAATACTTGATCGAGATCGCGTTCACGCATGCGCAGGAGAAGACTGCGAGCAACACTACTGTGCGTAGCTCGCGATGTAGCAGGCAACTTTGGAACGTCGACAGAAATGTTTCGATCCGTTGCACTCGCTCGTAAGTTTCTCGTTGATAAATTGCGTCAATTGTTATTAACTGTGCGTATTCTCGCGTTCTTTGGGCCATTAAATATGATGTGCGACGTTTCATTTAGTGTTGGATAAGATATCGCATGTATCTGGGTGGCAATAATCGATCGATAATGCCAGAGTAAACTCCATTCTGCGTGCTCACTTCTCTTTAGTACGGTATTGCATAATGCAGCGCATAATGCGCATTTATTCGTCCTGTAGTTGTAACATATTCCACCATTACTCATAACCTCCAAAACGCGAGTATGTATCTCTTAGCGTAAATACACAGTGATATCTATTTTAACCTCTTTCGCTTTCTAGGCAACGTCCCCCAGGGACTGTTGTCCCTGGTGGGCAACAATGTGGCGGCTACGGGATACGCCGCCAAAACTCAGGTCAAACACATGGCCACGGAGTCATCCGTGCAGGAGAAGAAGGCTCCGTTACCAGAGAAAGTCAAGGTCGAGCCCTACAGCCCCTTCCCGAAGGCCAATAATATGGCGGAATATGCTTTAGCTCGTGCGGACGATTTATTGAATTGGGGACGCAAAGGATCGTTGTGGCCGATGACTTTCGGTCTGGCCTGCTGCGCTGTAGAAATGATGCACATGGCAGCGCCTCGATACGATATGGACAGATTCGGCGTTGTGTTCCGCGCTTCGCCTCGTCAGTCAGACGTTATCATTGTCGCCGGCACGTTGACGAATAAAATGGCACCTGCTTTGAGGAAGATCTTTGATCAGATGCCTGAGCCACGATGGGTCATCTCAATGGGAAGCTGCGCGAATGGAGGTGGATATTACCACTACAGCTACTCCGTGGTTAGAGGTTGCGACAGAATCATACCTGTGGACATTTACGTGCCTGGTAAATTTGTTGTTTCTGCTTTTATTCCGCAGTTATTCTGCTGTTCGCTGTATCAATCGCTTGATTGCAGGTTGTCCCCCAACAGCTGAGGCATTATTGTACGGGGTTCTTCAGTTGCAGAAGAAGATCAAACGAATGCAAACCACGCAGGTCTGGTACAGGAATTAACATATAGTATCTAACATGTCTATGTAGCAAGTTGTGTACAGATTATTTAAGAGCTATGAGGTAATCTATTTAATTAAGTGACAGACGTTTATTATAGGCCATCTGAAAATGTGATTTACGAAATAAAATCACATTTGAAAAAACAAACTTTGTTATTACGTTGTTGACTGTTTTGGCGTACTTGATAATATTATGAAAAAAGGGGCAAAGATGTCACTTTGCATTGTTATTACGGAAAGTTAGACATCGAAATTCACTAATGCCCGTTTCTACCGTCATGATTTAAATCTAATTGACAATTAATTTAACGGAATTGACCAGTCGCATCGACCAATTAGCTGAAATTACGAATACTAAACGGGCATGAGAAAGTTGATTGAAGTATGATCTTTTTGTACAACATAAGATTAATGTCAGTCAAAGAGTCTTACAAAGTCAGATTATTGATCATTGAAAATACTAGTCACTTTACATATGCATGATCAGACAATTATTTGCAGAATTCGACGCACTTTTGCAACCTCCTAATAGAAAAATACATGTCAAAGTCACAACAAGTTCTCTTTTAATCATTATTGGTGCAAAGCACAGAGAACACGTTCTCGGTATATATATTATCAAGCTAAACGTGGCGTACAAAATTTTATTAATTTTTACATTCTTTTTGTTCAGTTAAGTGTCTTCCACCAATCCGTCTTAGATTGACTTCAAGAAAATTATATAACGACAGTGCAGTCACATAAATCGTAATGCATCAATGATCTAAACGATAACATCCTTAACATAGTACGATTTGCAAAACTACATTAGCTTCATCTCTTGTTTCGTTAAAAGCAGGAAAGAGTTGAACAAGTCAACGAATATTACATGATATGAAGTCCATTTGTTGGCGTAATAATACAAAAGAAAAATGCGTAGCTGTACATTTTTCATTCGATGAAAGATACACAAGCAAAAATTTCTAGTATCAAATCGGCTTGAGCATTTAAGAGTTAATATACGAGGAAAACAGAATACACAAACGAGTAGATTTGCACTGTGTCATGTATTTACTTTTAATTACACAAAAGAAAGGGTCGAGTATCTGTACAAAGCTATACTCTGTTACATTCTCTCTATTATTTATTATATTTCACTGTTTCTCTTCTTCTTTTACTTCTACAAGAATATGTACAAAATATATTCAGAGTAACTTAAACGTAGCAAAGAGTTCCGCGTGGAATTCTTTATTCATTGTAATGCGGAGTCTACAGTGAAAAATTAAGGCGTGAGATTCAAGAAATTGACCAATTGCAATTAAATTATAGAAGTGAGTTATGATAAATTTCATAAATCTTTCTTAAATCTTAAATTCTCATTGTAGACCCCGCTTAAATTATCACGCGTTCTAAGGCCCCTTTCTTCTTTTTAGCCATCGCTATAGCCAATACTAATAACAATTACATATTATACTTACACAGTACATACATATCGTTTTTTGTTTAATCAAAATACATATACCGAAAAACACAAATCTTAGATGTATAATAGGTAAAAAATTTGTTTTAAGCGACTCGCGCAAATTCTATCCTATCATCTTCTATCGTTCAATGAATATTCTGTTCTGCTTATGTCCACAGCCAAATTATCCATATTTTACTTTGGTCATTAAAAAACAAGCATAAAGGTAAAAAAACCAGTCAAATCCTCCTGATAATTAGATAATTTATCAAACTTTTTGCAAAAGTTTATTAGTCCTATTTTATCATGATTCGGTATATACAAGCTTTCATTTAAAAACATTCGTCCTCAATCTCCTTTCTTCCTTACTCGCGATGGAACGAAGCATTTTCAGTCACTTGTATTTTTTTTTCGAAAAAAATTTTGCACGCTTCAGTAATGCAAAATTATAAATTTAAGATAAATATGAATAATAAGAAGATAATGTATATAATATATATATATATATATATATATATATATATAATACAATTTTGTTATAATTCGGAAAAAAAATATATATATATATAAATAAAAACAGGCGTATTTGATTTGATGTGTCACATAACCAACAAGTATGTTTATATCTTCTTAAAGAGAGTGCTTAAGAAGAAATAAACAAAAAAATGTTTGAATAATTTAATTTAAAAAATATATAAACCGATGTAAACAAAACATATATCAGAGCGATCTAAGTGCATAGTCAGTTCCTGTGTTGTGCAATATAATTTAAGCAACATTGTAAACTATTATCAAAAGGAAGTGCTGCAATTAATTGCAGACATACATCCTCGCATATTGTAAACAAGTCTGGATATTATATACCCAGTATTCCAATGATGCATATTTCTCAGAATGATCGATTATCATTTGCTCGATATCCAGCTGGCGTGACGATTTCGAATTCAATTTCACTTCGATAGTAGATGAATAATACATGTAACTTCGGTAAACATTCTTGGGAAAATTTAAAGCGACACTTAAATATCATTTTACTTTTATTAGAGAATCGCTTGCGACGTGGATGGCGGTGGATTACTTGGTAACGCAGGTACCGGACCTTCCGTCCATTGAATGAGCGAGTGCGCGCTCATTTGGGTACTCTGAAAGTGGTCCTTTAAGAGAGTCTGAGAGAATGTACAATGCATTTGATACGCCTCGTTTTCGCGATTTGTGTCACCGACGAGTCCGTATAAATCTGTAACATTAATTACGTACTGTACACGGAATTGACCGGAAACGATTGAGATATGTATACGTCGTTTGTATGTGTGTATGCATATGTATGTAAATATATATACCTTTAAGAATGGCCGTAGCCCACAATTGCACATGCACATCGGGTATTTTAGAAGCTAACTGCATCGCGGGTGTGACCATGTTCATCGATTCCCTGCTGTTCCCCAACGAAAGGAATATGTGTCCAAGAAGCACGAGACTGCACGAAGTGAGTCTGTTCAGGTCTTCCGAATTTGCCATCTTCAATGTTTCTCTAAGGTATCGTCTGAAAATCATATTGAATGCACTTGTGTCGATGCGTAATTTTTTTTGGAAATTCAAATTTGCATCGTTAGTTACATCTACAGGTTCTCATCTCGAAGTAAGAATATCTTCAGAAATCTCCATTATCGCATATTTTTTTAAGAAATATAAAAAAAGAATACAAGCACTTGTAATGCACATACTTCGCTTCGTTATATCTAGCTCCGAAGAAGGCTTGGAGTCCTTGTACGTAATACGCAGCCGCCCTCAAAGAATGAGAATTCGACGGTAGGGTTTCTGGATTTATCCTTTCTAATAATGTCCCCAATTCGGCCTCCCTTTTCGTCCTGAGGTATACGATCGCCAGATTCAAGTTCGCGAAAGTCCAGAGATCCCTTTCGTGCGACGTCTATAAGGAGAGAAAGAGAGAAAAGATGAAGCAAGTTTTTTCTTTTCTTTCCAATCTCTGCCATTGGCGTGAAACACTCAGTAGTGCTACCGTTCAAATGCAAAAGATGTTAAAACTTATCGATGAAACGAACGTCGATATCAGTCAAGTGAAGATAATAATTGTGCGCTTACTCTGAGTGCAGCGGTAAATTGAGCCTCCGCAGCTTCCATACAATTCATCGACATTGCGTATAAACCTAGCAACGCGTGTAATTGAGGCCTATGGCCCTGAAGTAATCTCGGCTGTCGCCTGCAGAGCTGACAGGCCTGGGAAATCTCCGCAAGAGCCACACTTTTGTTTCCCATTACGAGTCGACACATAACTATGTGTTCCAGGAGCATCAGTTGAAACACGGACAATATGGGCTTGTTATCGACAACTGCAAAAGAATTCAATTTTACACCGAATTTTATTTAACGGTAAGAAGGCAACAAGGTGAGAAAATTTACTTTTCAACTTCTCGATCTGGGTGAGAGCCTTGTCTGTGTACTTTTGCGCCTTGTCCATGTATCCAGCTTGCATAGAATGCATAACGGTAACCAAGTAAACCAACACATAGAGATGATCTTTTGGCATCCATATAAACATATCTGCTATGTTGGCACCTGCGATAACATCATCAGACGGCCAACTAGGGGACATTATGGTCTGTATACTTTGTTGCAATTGTTTCAAACAGGGCTTCACGCTCTTCACCTATTTTACAGACAGAGAGAGAAAGAGAGTATGTATTCACATATGTTGTATATTTTGTGCTACATATATTTTTCCAAATATTTCCTTACCTGACCAGCCATGAGATAATGACAAACTTGAAGAACTAAAAAGTATACTTTCAGGTATTCTTTCTGATGCAGACTACCTTGCCAGTTCTCCACATTATGGCTCGCCAAATTCAGAAGATTATGAACCTCCGAGAACTTCTTATCTATCAGCAAGAGCATACACTTACTTAGGAGAAAGAGGATCTTGGTATAACTAGCATTGCTTATCTGGGAGTAATCGGCACCCACTCCGAGCAGGCTGCTCGCTGCGACAAAGTCTTTCTCCGATGCGTGAATTTGCTAGAAATTTACAAATTACCATACGAATGTAAAAATATCAAATTATAGGAATTCTTTTGTGGGACTCACCGCGAGTTGAAAGATAAGTCTGCAATGCCAGTAGACATTGTGCTGGGACAGCTCTATCGCTTTCCTCAATATTGGTTTACTTAGATTCGGCAGCTGCTGTTGCTCGTACAATTCCGCGGCTATACTGGCAGCTTCGAATTTCACATCATCGAAGGTATTTATGTTTTGACTTAGTCGCCACTGAAGCAATCGGTTTCAATCAGTATTCATCAATGTGACTCGATCAACGAGCTGGGTAAATTCGTTATCAACGGGGGGTGAGGTTAGAAAAATCCGAAGAGGCGGTGTGCGAGGAGAACATAAGTGAGAAATGAATGAAAAGGAGCAGAATCGATCTCGGCAGCGTTTACGCGAACGAAAGAAATCAAGAAAGGACCAACTAACCGCTTGTTCTAAGTGGGATCGCGCCAAATCGATGTTTTTCGTGTGCGTGAGCAGGATATTGCCGAGCTGAAGGTGAGTGCGCGCCTCGACACGTGGTGGCGGCTTAAAGTTGAAAACCGCCTGTAAACACTGGATGCACGATTTGATGTTGGGCGGGCTGGACGTGCGGAAATTCTCAGCCAAACCCAACAACGAGAGGTACCAAGCGTCCTGAGAAGACGCCATTTTCACATTTACGTTACTCGTCTCACTTGAATCTCGCACTGCCGCTCTACTGCTCGCACAGCGAGAAAATTCCCAGTTTCCGCGCGTGCGCGACCGTCGCGCCGCCAGAGACGTATTTAGCAGGGGCGAAACACACTCTCGGCAGACTAAAGGTTGCGACACTTTTGTTTCGCAATGCACGCCAGTGTCCAATAGAAGAATTCTCCAGGGATACATTTTCCTATTGGATACGAAACTCGTCGAAAGGAAGTTTAATTTCGGGAAAACCTGGACTCCTCTTTGGGAGGATTTTTCGATTTACTTCCCAAGAATAGGAAAATTCGTTTGGAGAAATTCACATGTTTGATTAAAACGCAATTTAGTAGTCGAAGTAGCTAAGAAAAGGAATATTTCGCAAGAAGAAACTTTTGTTTTCGTTTCTTCCAGCGATAAAGAATCGTTTTCCAAGTAGGGTTTTTTTAAACTAAAATAATTCGACAGTTTCCATTTTTTGGAGGGAATTCACATTAGAGGAAGATATAAGTGGTGCGCGCACTGTCGGGGCAGAGAAATGCGAAGAGACACTTCGGTCGGACTCGGTGTCGTTCGGCTGGCACCTGCTAGGCCCTCCCACGGACCATCTGCCAAGCAGTGGGCAGTTTTAAATCACGCGAGTTTGAGCGCGGGAGTGAGAGTTGGTCGATCCTCTCTCGTTTCTCTTCCGCAGCGTTCGCGATGCCTTCCGGTTGGTGCGTGTTCGTGTTCCTCTTCTGCCTGTCGGTACGCGGACTCGCCGGGAACGTCACCGATATCCTGGAACAAACACATGCGGAAAACGCGTTGGCGAAGCTCGTGAAAATGTTCTCCAAACCGGGCGCGTTTAAACGAGTGAGTTGGCTGATAATTCCTAAGGGAGACACTTTCACCGCTATCTCTGATTCAGCTAATCAACGAGTAACCGGGAAAATAAATTTCGGGCCACAACGGCTGTGCAGTTTTTTGTCGTCCAACGATAATCGGGAAATCGAGAAATTTCTGTCTCGGCAAAACGAAGCGAACGGAGATCACGGTGAAAGTCACATTTCGAGCGTCATTCACGCAACAGAATTTATCTGTAAGATTTTTCCTGTGGCTGAATTTAAATAACTTGTGATACCGCCCTCACTGATAGATCCTTACCCCTTCACCAGGCTTAATGTAATATTCGTCGTTCTCCATCGTTTCACGAGATAAGATTACAAGCACGGATTACGTTGCATCAGGAGAAGAATAGCGGTTATGTGGTCTCTCGAACTTGCTATTCCAAGTGGATCATTTTCGCACGTGTGATGCAACAGTCAAGTACAAGCAATCGATTACGCGTGTTGTACACGGAGAAAGTTCAGTCGCAACCGCAAATACAATGTCACACGCAACGCCCAGGAAAATTCACATCTTACTCTAAACTCGAACCTAAGCTAAAGCCCGTTTTAAACGTTTTGCCTATTTTAAACTTTCACGCGGACGTAGAGAGAGTTAGAAAGAAGAAGAAAAAACCTGGATTTATCCAGTTATTTATTTATGTTGAGATATTTTATTTATTTAAATGTCTTTTAGACGCTTGTGCTGTCCAAGTGGGAACTTTAAACCCATTTCTATCGTCTCGTTCGCAGATCGATGCGATTCTCGGCGAGAATTTCATCGAGACGTCCTTCACGAGCTGTCCCACGGGCGAAGAAGGCCTGGAGTGCCGAAGGGCGGAGGCTCGCCGATCGGCCGACTGTCCGCGAGGTAATCCCCGCGTTACAACGAAGCTACGGATCGAGCGCTGTTGCGAAAAACGCATCGCGCTTTGACAATAGAGATTGCTGACCTTGGCAATAGCCGCTCCCAGATGACTCGCGGCGTTTAACTGCAGAATGCAACGTATTAATGTCAGGCGATGCGCACGCTTTTACATTTATCGCGCGCGTTTCTTTTTTCTTTTCCAAGTCGTCTTGACAAGTAAAATGGCTGTGATGCGTACGTGTGTTGCAATCTGCGTGACACGCAACACAACGACAGGAGAAAGTATTACAGCGAGAGAGTACCGAGAAGCAAATTGCTCACATGTCGATTTCTAGTGGAACGTCTGAACATTATTCTCTTGAAAGCGTATGTTACTGGTGGTAATGTAAACGCGCGAGAAACTCTTAAGCCCGTTGACACCTCCAACAATTACTCTATGACTAACTTATACTGTGACTAAATTATGCAGCACAGACGTCCCAATGAGGAGATGCCCCTATATCCTAAATTGTCCTTCGGATAAAGTTTGAATAATATTTTAATGCCTATATATAAACACAGGGAAAAAAGAATCTCAGTTCCTGCAATAGAAAGAACAGATGAAAACTCGAGAACATTCGTGTGAACATTCAACTACATTAAAACCCGGTTAAGACAACCGATCGACTGTGTGAGTAAGAATCTCCCACAGAAGTCTTTCCGTTCCGAGTTCTCTCATCTGGATCGCAGGCAACAGACGATTTAATTATACTAACGAAGTCAGTTCTTTTTTCCGCGCATTAGTCAAAGGCATTTTTCCATATTACAGAAGCTTCATAATCCAAAATAACGTTAATAGCATATTAATTACAAACATATAGTTTCCAAAAGAGAAGAATCGGATCGCGTCTCTTACATAAACCCCATTGCAGGTGACTGCTTCTGCAACAACTGCGCCGTCGTCGGGCCGGATTTGTGGGCTTCCTGTTGCCGCGAGAGCCTTAGATGTTGCTCTCATCTCGCGGCGGCCTGCCGGACGTGCGATCACCCGACGCTGTATCCGTTCTGTGCCAAGCACTTCAAAAAATGCCTGGCGCAGTACAACGAGAAGAAGCAGAATTAGCGGGCCGGATCGAGAACTCGACTGTGATAATCGGTTTGCCAAAATGTTGGTTCACCACGACCGATGATAATGTTACGAAAGCACCTGTATCGCCGTCGATCCCAAAGACGGACTTGGGAGGAGATGAGAGCATTTTCTCTGATTACACGCGCACAGGAAGGAAAATTACATTCCTCATTATTTCATTGAATTATCATATCATTGTTATTAAGGGGAAATCATTTATTCCTGTTTCTCATTCTCGAAATCTAATGGTGACTCTCATCAAACTCTGATCAGGTTGATGGATAATAATTGCCAACATCAATTTCCGGTTCTAAGTTGTCGTTCAATAATAATTGAAAAATGAATCTCCATTTATGTTAGTCAGACAGAGCGGATAATATATGACTGACAAGTTTAATCGAAGTTTGGTGAAAGTCAATCTAAAGCTTACGTACGCTTAGGTCCGTGTTAATTGTAGTCGTTACATGAAACTCGTCCCACGTGAGACATGCAGATTTGAATTTAATTCGATTTGAGTTTCTTTTTACCTGTTTTTTACGCCTAAGGCAAGTTTCAAATAATAACTGTCGATACGGATGTTGAACATATATCTATCTCGAGATTGTTTAAATGTGAATTTTTATTCGATCTATTCAAAATTTTGAAACAGTAGGATAGACGGTTTTCGTCTTCCTAAACTGGACAAATGTCGCACTGTACGATCGTCTTCTACTGTCAGGGTTTAATTGTAACCACGCCAACAAATGCAATCAGCAGCGTCTTTTATAACGAAGCAAATCTACGAGCGTATAAGTTCGTACTAATATTTTATTTCATTTTTCTTATATCGACAAAATACCGGATGACTGACGAAACCTATCGACAAAAATCTCGCTGATGCATTTTAGATGCGTGTAACGAAAATGTTGATTACTCACAAAAGATAAATAAACATCACCTCTTAATACAATCATTGATAAGCTTTATTCATATAGTTTCCAGAGTATTCGGTAATCTTGTATTTATCCACTAATTCTATAAATCGTAGGGACAGAGCTGGTTCGTTTAGATAGACACTTCATGATCAATGTACGAATTTTGGCAAAGAACATATACGCAACAGTTTCTCGTCGTGACGAAATGAAAGGGAGAAATGTGCGCGTGTCACGGTACTGTCTTCTGAATGCGTCGAGTGTCCGTTCCAAAGCTTCGACAGTTTTTTTTTTTTTGATGATAAAAACGTTCGTGTCCCTGTGGAGTGCGCGCGCGGCCAGTCAAATAGTTTTTCCGTATTTGTTTCTTCTTTTCTCCTTTCCTAAAAACGTCTCGAAATTCTACAATTCCGCTAAATTTTGTTCGCCATGTCTGTCGTGCAGCGAAATGGGGCCGTTTTCGTGTTCTTTTTTTTCTTCAGGGTATAAAATTCTCCCACACATACGAGAGAGAGAGAAAGAGAGAGAGAGAGAGTACGCTTAATCGCTAACAGCACCACACAAAGATGTGAAAGACGAGGTTAGAACCAAAAAGAAAAAGGATAAGAGGAAACGTGTTTATTCATTTTTTTCCCATGAAAAACGAAACGCAATCTAATTACCGAATAAGACGCAGTTGATTTGTGTTAATGACGACGATAATAATAATAATAATAATAATAATTTGCTCTCAATCGGATCGACATAGATTGAACTCTGAGAGTCGTATGACACACTTGCGTCATGTTGAGAGAGGGAGAGAGAATTTCGAAGAGGAAGAGAAAGCACCGAGAGTGTATCGCCGTTTATACAGCCGTGAGTGAGGAGGAGAGAAAGTCAAAATTAAAAAAAATAAAAAACGGAAGTCCCCAAAAAAAAAAGATTCGATTCTTTCCTATTATTTGAGAGATCGTTAAACGTTGGTAGTAGTGCCCCGATGATCGGTAATTAGTCGACATTATTATTCTGTTTTCTCTTACACAAAAAACACAGATCTTGATCTATTATGCGATCGTAGACTTATTACGGTGTACATGTATATCAAGTACGAGTTCAAAATCTATCACGTAGTACAAAGAGATAATTATGCTATTTTAGTTTATTAAGTTGTATCTCATATACCAAGAAATATCAAGACTACAGTACTATATATTTTAATTGATTCGGAAATGTATGATCAAGATCGGTTAGCCCAGAATCAATAAAATCAGACTATTAGTGGAGAGAGAGAGAGAGAGAGGGGGGNGTAATTAATAGTATTGCTGAGACAAGTGCCGGATATCTTTAACTCGTTTAAGTGCAGACTTTTTTTTCCAGAGGACGTTGTAAAAATTCGGCGGCGGCGGTAGCGGCGCCGTGGTTCGCAACGATTCGAGAGAACCTCGATTACCTTCTAGTAAACTTTTTGAATACTTTTACATTGAAAGTGACATTAAATCAATCGCGTCGCGTTAACTCGAATCCCAATTGACCACTACCGTCGTTGGTCTCGCGAGTTAACGCCGAAAAGTCCGAGGTCGTCGAGTCGCGCGTGCGCACGTCGATGCCCGAATCGCGACCAAATCCGATACACGCGAGCTATACGCGAATTGGTGTGTGTGTGTGCGTGTGTTGTTTGTGTGTGTGTGTGAACAATTCGTATTGTTTTGTGCGCGAATGACACTCGTGTCACTCCATTAGAAATTCGCCGATATATGCTTCCACCGTGTATCGAGAGGGGGAAAAAGAGAAAGATAGATAGATAGAGAAAGAGAAAAAGATTGCTATATCACTCCCGCATTTCGCTTTCTTGCTAATTACTAACACACGCACGCGTAAACGCACTCATGTACGCGTACCACACACATACACACGCACACTCACATACATGCACACACAATCTTACAAAGATCATCATCCTTCATCTCCTTACGTAAACTACGCAATTCTATGTTGCGGGAAATTTTTCTCTTAAAAATACAATTCGAAAAAAATAAAAGAGATATACACATAGTACAGGTACTGCCGGGTGGTCGCAAAAAACACGTTGAAACCAGCGGCAAAGATCGGCTTAACCACTTAACGAGAGCCCTAGAAAAGAAGATTCTTTCACCATCCACTTCGTCACGTTCGCGTCGCACTCGTCTCTCCTCCTCCTTCTTCCTCCCCCTCCCGCCCTCCTCGCTCCACCGCGATCACACAGCTATTTTATCGTTAAATTAATCGATTCGTAGTCGTGTTTCAACACTTATTATCCGGTTTAGTTAGTGCCTTGTAGATATTTATTTGGTTCTTTATATTTTTATATCGTATAATATAATTATATAATTCAAACGATTGTTCTCTTCTCGTTTAGATAGTCGTACCCAAGTTATTAATATACTTGTAGACACGACTCGATTATCATTTACGTTTATTTGCTATTTCGGTGGACAATGAGGAGAAACAATAATGCATACACAGGTTAATTACGAAGAAGGAAGAAAACGTACGACAATTCCCATGGAGAAGTTCTGTCGATATATCCCCCCCCCCCCCCCCNCCCCCCTCCATTCTCTGGAGAAGAATAATCGAGCATACGCGGTCGATTAATCTTTTTTTCCTTTCTTTTAAACGACGCATACGTACACGAACTAATTACCGCGTTAAGTCATTCGGTGACTGAAATAAAACCTTAACTCCTTTGGACATAACGATAAAGTCTCGCATGCGCGCGCGCGCGCGCGCGCACGCACGCGCACACACACACACACACACACGCATACACATACACACGCGCAAACACACACACACACACACACACACACACACACACATGTGAATTGACATATATTCACAACGATTAATCACTCTTTTCACAATACTATACGAAGTCATTTCTCGAACGTGTATCAATTTGAGCTTCAACACCTCGACGCCAATATCGTCGATATCGATTGGCGTAAGTCATTTTAAAATGTTCATTAGGTGCACAGAGAGAGAGAAAAAAAAAAAAAGAGAGTGAGTGCGAGAGAGCCGTGGCCAATCGCACGACACTCCGAGAGAGAGAGAGAGAGAGAGAGAAAGAGATATATAGAGAATCTCCCCTCTTCAATAGATATACATAACAAAGGAGAGCAGGAGAGTCTCTGTATTTCGTTACCACACGTGCGCGCAGCGACATCCGGACGCGCGTTTAACTGTTCGTTCTCTTAAATGCGTCCGGTTACGTCTTCCAGTTGTGCGGATGAGCCCTTGGCGGTGCTTGGTTGCCTTGCGCCTGAGATGCCTGCGACGGTATCATGTCAAGCAGATACTGACGTTGAAGATCCGCCGCTTGTCGCTGTAACTCGACGAGGCCCTTGCCACCGGCAGCCTGCGCCATCGCCAATTGATACGGATACAATATGGAGGTGAACGGCGGCATCATGTGAGCGGGGAGAGGCTGATGCGGCGGTATACCCGGCACCGGGTTTTTCGCCAATTCTGAAACAGCACGTCGACGCTATCGGGGAATTCACTTCTCGCGACTAGCTCGTCGATTGCGACCGGCCGGCTGACATCGTTAACCCGTTTAATTCTGCAAATCGATATCCTCTCGAAATTAAGGCTCCCGCTACCTCCACGCAGCCATCTTGATTAATGGCGTCAGAAACGTGAGGAAACGCGTGCGGAAAAAAAGAGTGACATATAAAACGAACGAAATCAACAAACGTCAAAATATAAGTCTAGAGTTCGAATCAAGTATAAATGACCCCGAAATAAATTAAGGGATACGTTTAGCAACAGTGTGTTGTTACGAGAATAAGTTTGAAGCCTTGTGTACGATAAAATTTTACTTAACATTTTCCATTCTTACTTTTTCACACGTGAAATCATCCTAATATTACGCTAATTGCTTTTGCACTCCTATAACTTGAATCATAGCTTTGCTCACCTCGTAGCAACTGTTGTTGCAGAGCCGCTGCGGCTGCTGCGTGATGCGGGCTGAATTTTCCGCTTTCAGCCAGCTTCACCAGGGGATGCTCCTGCAACTTTGGCGCCGGCGGTGTTGGCGTCAACGTCGGTGCCGGTGGTACCTGCGGTAGAGGCGCAGGTGGTGTGGCTACTCTTCTCGTGGGAGTGGCTGCCTTAGGAACTGGTTTCGGAGCAGGAGGATCCGGGCTCGGACACGCCGCTTGTGCTAGCCTTTGCTCGATCTCTTGTTCCTGCTGCAGCGCTTTCACGAAAGCAGTCTTTAATCTGCAACACACCGTCCATCAGACTAGAATCTGGGTAATGTTCTAAATATACGTCTGAATATATTTAGATTCTAGATACATTTCATAATTAATGACACAGAATGCTATTCTTTTTCGGATCGGATGAAACTTGAAAATAAGTAAACAAAATTGCTAAATGGATTTTACGTTAATTCGGCTGATGCACATTTCTATCAACCTGCATTTGAATTTTAACCTGAGTTGCCTGAGTTAACCCGAGACTTTGTCTGAAGAATTTAAACTTGATTTAAAGATTCGCGTTGATAAAAACGGATACAAAATGCACACGATCATTATATGTTAATAATATATATGCAAAAACTCACCGATTGGTGTGCTCCGCTTTCAGGGCCTTCTTAACGTTAGTCGTTACGCAGTGCTCGCATATGACTCTCGGGTCACGACCTGCTGCGGGCCGTTGGAAGGTCGCGTGTTGCCCTCTGGGACTGTCCTTATTACCGCCGGGCAAAGGTTTCTCCCATTTCCATACAGGTGTAAAGTCTGTCTTGCATTGTGAACACTCGAACGGCTCGGGAGGCGGCGGTATGGCCGGCTCCTTCGTGATAAAGTCGACCACGTGCTCCAGGCCGACCAAATATATGAACTCCGTATTGGAAGGGTTCGGTACGAAATGCATCTCTGGCGGCGGCGGTTTCGGCGGCGGTATTTGCAGCAGTGTCTTCTCGAGCTGCTTCCTTAAGGCTAATTTGGCGGCTGCTTGACGTTGAGCGGGTGTCTGATTATCCTCCCGTGGTCGTTCCTGAATTCGTCGAAAATATCAGAATATATCTCAAACTTATTCTACATTAGCTAGGCCCGTAACAATAGAGAGAACAAGTGTACCGATTTATAATTTAACCAATTAACGTAAGAATCTTGTAATTTGTGCCGTTTAAACAAAACCGTCTCTCGTTATCACAAGTTCGGTTACGTTGCGTGTTAATTGGTAATGTGTATGCATCGAAGGAGGATAATAAACAAGTACTGTTTCCTTACATATTTTACACATTGTTAAAATGAAAAAAACTGTTAAGGATGTGAATAAAATGAAGACAAAGTTCAAACGGAATTGAAATAAGTCACCGAGCCTGCTTGATAATCAACGTAACGATAGCAAAAAATTGATTAATATGCCGTGAATATGCGGACAGAAAGATATTGCATATTGATCGACGAGCGAGTATATACCTGTTCTGAATTCACAGGCGTGCTTAAGGATGCGGTGGTTTTATTTTCCTGCGATCCAACAAGCAGCTTTGTGTTCAGGGAAACACAGTAATGAGTAATACACATGTATGTTGCTTATGATTAAAGAATTATTTGAAACTTTCACCGCTACTCGCAATGCCGGCAGAGTGTTGCATATTAGCGGTGAAAGCGTTCGTATGTACAACATGTCTCTTTAAAAATCCATAGATTAAGAATACCCTATGGTATATGACTTTATTAACCCTTTCATGATCGAATTGTCTCGCTTTCAAATAAAATAAATTTTCAAGGTAATAATTCTCAGGTAAAGAAGAATACAGCCGAGATAACAGTCTGATATGCGATTTTTATGTAATACCCGACGATAACAAGCAATTATCTTGAGAGTTGAAATATACTTTCTTTTGTTTTCAGCCAATGATAAAAGAACAAGTGCTCTGATGATATATATATATATATATATATAATTTGTATCGAGACTGAAGTTTTTAAAATGAAGGCATTCGGCGTCTAAAGGGTTAATAATCCAAGACAAGAGCCTGGATGGGTCAGAGTAGAAACTTATATAGAAGAAAAGGAGAGAAAAAGGGAAGAAATGATGACATGTGATCTACTATACCTTACTTACTTGATGTGCGGGAGCTGGCGTCGGATCCTTCGTGGATCTTTCCGTTCTATCCGCCGGCGCATGATAACTCGACACATTCGGCGTCGTGCTGGGCGGCCTGCCCCTGGGATGAGGTGGTTGCGGTATCACCATGTTCGGCGGTATTCCCGTACTCGAGATGGTCGCGTTTCTACCTGCTGTCGGCGGCAACACCATGCCCGGTGGCGGAGCGTGCAAGCTACTGCTTCTGCTCGGCGCCGGTTGGCCCCTCAGCAACGGAGGAGGCGCTTTGCTCGTTCTGTGACTAAGAGACGACACTTTCGTTGCAGTTTAACGTGCGACGGTGTGCGTAAAAAATCACGGGTGAGAGAGACATTACGGCAGTAAGGGGCGCCTTTCGCATACAAATTGCACAAGACGCAAACTTGAGCCGAAGGGAACGGGATATTGTTTTAGGTTTGTGTACTCTGGAAGATAGAACTGACGGGGTAAATCTGATATCGTAGGCAGAAGTAACTAGGACTCGATTACTTACTCGATCCTAATTGCGCAGTTACTTCTATCTTCTTCCGGAGCAAATCTAAAGCAATATTCTGACTGGTTCTCCGAAATATGTTTTCATCTCAAGTCGATCGGTTACCTGTGAGGCGCTTGCTGCACCGCCGTCACTTGCGGCGGCAATTTGCTAGGGGCCTTCGGCACCGCGATGTTCTCCTTCAGCTGTTGCGACTGGCGCAACTTCTTCAACAGCACCAGTTTCATCTCCTCGGACTTGAGCTCCTCCTTCAGCTTCCTGAGCATTCTCTCGCGTTCGGCCAACTCGTCGCTCGACAGTTCCTTGATAGGCAGCAGAGGGGGCAGCTCGCCTAGTTTTTGCGAGTCGTCAGTGCGAGTGATAAGGGAACACTTGAGAAGCGAAAACCCGTACATATTATCGTCGAAATAAAGAGAACGTCGCGACAAACCTTCCTCACTGTCGGACGCGTTCCCATTTAGGTATCCATTTATCCTGGGCTCATCGGGACTCTCCGCATAGCTCCTCTCTATCCTGGGTCTGAGGCTGCGCCGGGTCTTACGATCCTCTCCCGATTTGGGCGCCAGGATGCCGCGCGCTGCGTTCTGTATGTTACGAGCCTCCGGCATGTTGTTCTCGAGATTAGGGCTGGTGGAGATGTGAATGCCTAAATCTAACGGCACCGCCGCGTCCCCGGAATTCACAGAAACAGATGGAGAACTGCGTCTGCCACTGCTGCTAAAAAAATACGCAGGATCGTGGAAAATTAAAAGCCGGTGGCGGCTGACGAGAAAAGCTATCATCATCTCGCGGCACACAGGCGTCATTCATGCGTGCCAAAGCGGTAACAACCTATTTCTCTGTCCATCACGGAGAACGCGATAACGAACGATACCGATAAGGAATTCGCTCGCGGATAAAAGGCGACGCTTATCTCGTTAATTACCATTGCGCGTTCTACTTCTACAAGCGCGCGCGTAATTTCGAGCGGAATTACTCGAAGGTGAGATCGCGGACCGAACGCCGGAAAAAAACGAGCCGCGCGAGCAGCAGCTGTTGAACCCGATTAACCTCAAACATGGCGCAAAGCGCACTTTTACCTGACACTCAGATCCACCACCGCATCCCCGTCCAGATCCATGGCCTCCATTCTTTCGGGCGATGATCACTCTGCAATCACAAGGCACACACGGGATCAACAGGCGCGGGGAGTCATCGTCTCGTTCAAACGCGCGCGCGCCAAGCCGACGAAAAAGCTATAACGTGACGGTTGCGCGCCGCTCAGAGGCGGCGCGGTCGCCGAATATTCCACCAACTGGCTTGTCAAATTTCTCCTGCGTGTAACGCGCGCTCCTTATTATAGATGGTCTCTTTCTCTCTAACGAACGACGCCCGGCTTCGTCTCTCTCGTGCGCGCGATTATTCACGGTTGCCCGGCGCGAGAAGCGGTGAACGCGACATCTCGGAAGTCCGATGAGACGCAAACGAAACAGCCCGCCGACGCAACGCGTGCGGAATCGAAGAGTATCCTCGACGGAAGACGCCACTGAAATGAATGGCGGGAGGG